ATAAAAGGAAAATCACTATCAGTAGTTCAAAGAGTTCTCAAATCCACAAGCAGAATTCAAGGAAGCCGGCTTTGATCTGAAGCGGAAGAAACAGAGAAGTACCCAACCATGTAGACACGAAAGTGAAATATTCGTGTCATGGTGTCCGGACAGAAAGTTGACTCTTAGTTTGCCGGATGCTTTTCTTGTCGACTGATATATGACGACTTCCATACAGACGACAGTTAAAATGTCGATATACCAAAAAGTCGAATCGACAAAATGCCCAGCTGCAAAATGGCGACATGGAAATAGTGTGACAATGCCAGAATCGCGAACTGCTAATGACGAATTGCAAAATGGCGACATAGCAATAAGTCGACATGCCGAAATGACGAACATCTAATCGACGAACTGCAAAATGGGCGACATACCAACAAGTCGACATGCTGAAATGACGGAACGGCTAAATGACGAATTGCAAAAGGGTGACAAAATGTGCGAAATTGCGATCGGCTTGAATATCGTTGAACTACTTACGAGTCATGTTTGATCAAATGGTGACAAGACAAAATGACGACTTTACTAAAACGGCGAAATCAAATGACATGAAAAACGGCAAGCTCACAGTAGAAACACGAAACACGAGGTTTCTTTCAAGGCTGCATGGAAAGGGCAATTCCTGTCCGATCTTTATAGCAGGTGCCAAATGCCTAGATGTTTGTGTTACAAAACTGACTTGTGTTCAAAACTGCATTAAACCGCTTCCAGCTGGTTGAAAGCTAGCCGCTGTGTCTTTGATTGCAGACGATCCACGCTGACGTACTTCAGACACAAAAAAGTCGATGGCAACCTTTCTTGACCTTGACACTATGTGGCCATGGAGGAGGCGAATTTGTGTGGAGTTTCCTATGGACATCATATGAAGATGATCTCGAATGGGTGGCGGCAAATAGTTTGCACAAGTTCGCGTACTCGTAGCTCAGAAACGAGGGGATTTCAAGTCTTGAGAAGGGCATGAGTAGGCAGTTGCACGTCACGATCGTAGACATGAAAGGGCTATCTCAGTTGAAAACCCCCTTCAAATGTGGAGCATCCTTTTAAATACCTCATTTGAATACATGATGGGACGGGAAAATGGCGGCAGGCCAAAATGACAAAAGCCAATGCGTCATGGAAAAACGACAAGCATTGGGAAAAATATACCACCTAGGTTACATAAAAGGCGCGAAGGCTGCAGATGGTGACATGGAACGATACTTTATTTACAGGCGTTTAATTTCCTTTTAAGGTGTGGGGCGCAAACCCGTCCCAGCCTTGGGAGAAAAATAAACTAGATCCGGGGAGAACCCGGTTGTCAAATTTTGGTGGTAGGTTTCATAATCTGCCGCGGTCCCCCACAACATATGTTACGAAAATATGTCCCTGTCCATATTTGAACCGTTTTTGACGGTCTTGCCCAGTACAACTCGCTGCCGAAAAACGGTCCCGTTACTTTCTTTCTGCCGTAGGAGCCATTAGCTAAGGGTAAAGCTGACGGCCACCATCCGTAAGCGCCTCCTTGATTGGAGGGGCCTACTTGTCTTGATGCTTATTCATTTCTTTATATTTAATTGTCTTGCATCACCAACAGAGCAGTGCCTCTCCTAATAGGCAGACTTTCGAATAAAATAATAAATGCACGGCACACAATACCCAGCCACCCACCCAGCATTTTGATATGTCCACATTTTTTAAATCACCATTCACCAGGGCCAAATTCAAACATGGCTCTTTTGTATTCCGCCATTCTGCCGTTCGCCAACATAACAAATCAATGTTTCGCTGAGCTGCTATCTTGCAGCTCGCCATTTAGCCGTTCGCCAACTTGGCACGTCGACTTTTCAATGTCGCCACTTTACAGTTTACCATTTAGCCATTTCGACTTTTCTCAGTGTCGACTTTTTACGTCGCCATTTCCGTATTCGCTATTCACATTCGACAAAAAAAACATTCGCCAAATGGAATTTCCGACTTTTTGTCATAGAACCGGATAGATGATCACCCACCTAACGTTTTGCCAGTGGTGTTAAAGGCTGGTTCGGCTGAGTTAACGTTTTCCGGTGACGCTTATTTGTTTAAACGCTTGTTGTGATCATGACTAATCTTCAGATATTCGACGAACTTGTCGTAACGAGATGGGAATGTGAATGTTTTGGTAATTGCCTCCCATAGCCAATGCTGAAAAACTGTTGACCTAAAAGGCTTAAGCATACTTGCCCCCCATTTTATATTCATTTTACCGGCCTTCCGGGACTTCGCCTCTCCAGGCTATCCACACTGTCCGCACCGGCCACAGAGCCATAATTTTGGAAAATCCAAACCCTCCACTGGCCGTCCATTCCGTCACGTGACCGAAGCGGGACCGTCGCAACTCGGGCGCCCAGGACGACACAAGGGCCAGTCACCACCAGGGCACAACACAGGCTGGGCTACACAGAGCTGCCGGCTGGCACACAAACAGGCACGCACACACACATAAACACACGGGACGGTACGACCGGAGGCAGAAACTGGTGCAGAGCAAAGCGGTGCTGAGGAGTGCGCTCGCCACCGTCTGCCGACGTCACATAAGGCACGCGATCTCAGGCTCTGTTCGGGATTTTGCATACATTGTGATTCAAGGTGCTCGTAACTGGACCGCGCTGCACAACAGAACCCAGCTACTTGTGTGCTTCAATCAAGCATACCTCCAAACAGGGGGGGAGGGGGGCATCCTATTGGTCTCGCATCACAACTCAGCGCTGCGACTGGTCGCGGAGCACCGATCCGCAGAGTACACGCGATGACGACGGGCACCAAACTTTCCCGGTGCGTGGGACCGCTGGCCTGAACGGCCTGTTCCACGGACGAACATGAAAATATTCGCGGTGCAGTCGGCGGCAGATATCGTGTTATGGTCACGAGCAAAGGAAAGCCTCATTCTGCACGGCTATCAGCAGGTGGCTCTGGTCGGAGCGTCAGCCGATGCCAGCTTGAGAGACAATAACACGCAGGTGGCGTTACCCCTAGATGTACGGCGTCAGCATCCGGCAGATCTTGGTTCCGCGCGTCTTGTTCTGCGCTGCGCCTGGAAGTTGGATCCTGGCGTTGCAATCATTTGACATTGGAATGTTGAAATCGGCCAGAATTTTTTTGGTGATGTGGACTTCCCCATCATTTGATCTTTAGTTTTATCACTAAGGGTAACCTCGAGAGATCAGGATTTTTTGGCGGACGCTAGGTTCTCCAATGGTTAACGTTCTGAATTTTGGAAAGCTGACATCGGCCAGTAATTTTTGGTGATATACTGTTACCCGTCATTTGACCCTGCCCTCGACCCTGAAGGCTACACCATATAGACAAAATTATGCATGACAAAATTTAAGTATTTATTTTCGATGTCACCGTGCCGTAACAAAAAACATCTGACGTGTTTTCAGATAAGTCGAAGTTCGTCGCTGAATAAATCGCTGAATAAATCTCCAAGGACGGATAGCAAGCGAACGTCGGGTGAAAGATTACGAGCTTCGGCTGGAGAGCGGGCGAACATCGGCTGGAGGGCGGAAGCGTGTCAACTGGAGACAGGGTGAACGACGACTGGAAGGCAGAGGTGCATCGGCGGAGAGCGGGTGAACGTCGGCTGGAGGGCGGAGGTGCGTCGGCGGAGAGCGGGTGAACGTCGACTGGAGGGCGGAGGTGCGTCGACGGAGAGCGGGTGAACGTCGACTGGAGGGCAGAGGTGCGTCGGCGGAGAGCGGGTGAACGTCGGCTGGAGGGCAGAGGTGCGTCGACGGAGAGCGGGTGAACGTCGGCTGGAGGGCAGAGGTGCGTCGGCGGGAGAGCGGGTGAACGTCGGCTGGAGAGCGGGTGAACGTCGGCTGGAGGGCGGAGGTGTGTCAGCTGGAGAGCGGGTGAACGTCGGCTGGAGGGCGGGTGAATGTCGGCTGGAGTGCAGAGGTGCGTCGGCGGAGAGCGGGTGAACGTCGGCTGGAGGGCAGAGGTGCGTCGGCGGGAGAGCGGGTGGACGTCGGCTGAAGTGTGAGGGTACGTGGGTTTGACAGCGGACCGACGTCGGCCCGGTGCGTATGTCTGCTGGACGTCGGCATGTGCGAGCATCTGCCGGGCCAACGTCGGCATGTTGATTGAGTATCCAACATCTGCCTTATAGCGCCAGCAAGGAAAATTACTTACCTCGGGATGCAAGCGACACTTTTATGCAGTTTCCCTTTGCAGTGCAAAGAGCTAAGCTACATGTTCTGAAATGCTGGGATGTAAATCATTGGTATTATTACACCCATAAATCATACATATCTCATCCATTGAACCACCATCAACATGAGAAGGCCGCATTGCTGTAACGCTCTGGGACGGTTCCTCCCACGGAGAAGACTTACCAAATCATTTAGTTGATGGAGGTCCGAACAAGCGCCAAGTCGCTTAATACGCCTGTCCCAGTCAAAACCCGCATTAAGCTCACAGCCAGGTGACGAACGGGAACTTTACGCTGCTGAACGGAACGGCTGGGCACATTTCTGGAGGGGCTGCTACAAATGGGCGCGGCTGCATTTCAATGTTGATTTCTTTTTACCTTCGTCGGGCTCAAAACCCGACATTTAGCTACAGTCGTGGAGTACCGTTGTGCCTTGGGAGTTTTCATCTGAAGGACTGTGTTTGACGATACGGGGTGTCAAATTACTGCTTGGTGAAGTATCTGTTTGAAATCACATTTTATTTATGATGGGGCTGGATGGCATGCTGGGGTTGCGGTTATTTAACAGTAATATAACGTCAAGTTAAGACCGCCTGTTTTGCACCTTTGTGTTTGGCCTGAGGTTCAAGCAAAGAGCTAACTTGTCCATTGCACATGACAATATTTCAGGTTATATTTGGGGACTGGGTGCAAAATAATCATGGTTGGTGTGCCCAAAACTGCCACACATCAGAGTGCAGGGTACTCCAGTCATGTGGTTTTAATGCTCTTTTGTTTACAGGACCAGCAAGCCAACTGGACTGCAGAACATGGCACATCATGCAGGATTTCTGATTTGGATGATCCTGTCATCTTACTCAAATGTGTCCTGTATCAAATATGGAAAATACAGTGAGGCTCTTTCTGCTTCATGAAAACCTTGCCAAGCAGCATTTTGATTGTGTGCTACAGGTCATTGGGACATTATGTTAGGAGAGATTAGATGTCCTCATAACCAATATTTTGCTACTTTTGCAGATGACATGCTTTGTAATTAATATTCTGCTGTCATGATAGAACCATCCCTGCCTGTAGAATGCAGCACAAAATTGCGCAGAAAACAAGATTATATCACATTACCCTTCAAACTAAAATGATTATAAGCACACAGTCACAAAGTACAAAGCTAATGTTTATGCACATGCTTTGGCAGAGTTCACCATCTTCTCCTTGAAGGACATGGACATGTCACCTCTGCCAAGAACAAACAAATATGTCATCATGGATGAGAATGTTGTAAGCACATACAATGTTTGGGAACCGTGCATGCTACAGTTGCATACAAGGATTGTTTCTGTAGCTAATAACAGCAAAATATATTATTTTGACTTAACATAAACATGGTTGAGATATGTATTCAAGTGCCATGGGCCAGGGCACTTCATCACTTGCCCAGTGAAACTGGACCGCCCAATGAGGCTGAATTTGACAGTGTGTGTTATTTGTTGTGATTTGTCCAAAAGGCTACCCAGTTTCCCAAAAATATGGTGTTGACCAGGTGCCTTTCCTAACCACCTGATCATTATACCTAATTAACACTATGGTTGTCATTGCTTCTCTGCCATGACATTGGTTTGCATACCCAATCTCTCTGCTCCTTCGAACACCTTCACTGAATTGCCTTCACCGCCTGACTGAGAATCAGATGACTAGAATGAAGCATTACTGACCATCTTCATCTCTAGCTTCCACCATGGTCATTGTGAAGAGCACATCACTATGCTGAACCTCAGACGCTCTGGCCTCGCGCCCCCGTGTCGCCGCACGCTCCGCTGTCGCCCGGCTGACCGCGGCGCCGACCCGGGCAGACGCTGCTGGCCCAGGTGACTCCCGTCCGCGGCCTGGACGACTCGGTCAACTCTCAGCTGGTGGAGCACTTCTGGCTGCTGGGCGCGACGCCGCACATGACGCTGCGCAGCATGCACCGCGTCGTCCAAATGCCGTTCTCCATGGGGCTGTACCGGCGCGGCTCGTTCGTGGCCTGGCGCTGCCACTTCCGGAGGAGGTGCGGCCAGTCGCGCCAGCACGGAGAGAGCCGCGACACCGGTGATGGCCGAGGGGTCCTGCTGGGAGGTGCGAGCGTGGGCGGGGGAGAGGGGGGGGGGGGGAGGCACACACGTGGGCCGGGACGGGGAGTTCCTCTGAAGGGAGAGCTGGGCTCGTGAGGTGAGCCGGGAGAGGAGCTCACGGGGATGGAGCTGGCGCGGAGGATCGCTCTGTGCTTCAGAGATCTGTGATTTACGGATAGGCTGCGCGAGCCGGGAGGACGGGTGTCAGGTCATGTCAGGTCGGCGTAAGTTTAAGATGCTCAAAACGTCGGATAGGAGTGAAGCTAACCTGCCCAGCCTCGCACCCCCAGGAGCGGCACGGGGCTGGGCTTGGATGGCGCTTCGACACACGCTAGCCCCTCGACAATGGCCGCCGCAGCTCTGATGCCAGGCGTCCGGTGTCGCAGACAGCTGGCTGGGCGCACGGCGAGTGACGGCATGGCCCAGTGGAGCGCGGAGCTCGTCCTCTCCCGCGGCTCCGGCTTCCTCTCCACCAGCGCCTCCATCACCGACATCCGCTTCGGTGAGAAAGCACTCTGCGCGCCCCGACCGCCACTGGGCCGTCTCAGTGGTGGTCAGGTTCGCGTGCTTCACGCGGCTCGTTTACTGTTTGCTTGGTTGCATTGCGTTCTTGGCGGAGAGCATCGCCTGGCGCGGAGGGTGACGCTGATGCAGCTCACAGAGCGCTGCCGTCAGCTGGCGTCTGTTGTCCGCGCCACTGCTCGACTTGTCCGCGTCACATCGCGCCACCACGCTCTGTGAGGCGCCGCCTGTGACAGCGTCAGGCGCCTCCTGCGGCGGCGTGAGGTACCGCCTGTGACGGCGTCAGGCGCCTCCTGTGGCGGCATAAGGCGCCGCCTGTGACGGTGTGAGACGCCGCTTGTGACGGCGTGAGGCGCCGTCTGTGATGGCGTCAGGCGCCTCCTGTGGTGGCGTGGGGCGCCGCCTGTGACGGCGTGAGGCGCCGTCTGTGATGGCGTCAGGCGTCTCCTGTGGTGGCGTGAGGGGCCTCTTGTGACGGCGTGAGGGGCCTCCTGTGACGGCATAAGGCGCCTCATGTGACGGCATAAGCCGCCACCTGCGACGGCGTGGGGCGCCGCCTGTGACGGCGTGAGGCGCCGCCTGTGATGGCGTCAGGCGCCTCCTGTGGTGGCGTGGGGCGCCGCCTGTGACGGCGTGAGGCGCCTCATGTGACGGCCGCCCCGGTGACACAGCGCCGTGGCGGTTGTGGTCGCTGGGCCCGCCGGTGGCGCCCGCGACGGTGGTGCCACACGTCGGCCGGCTGCGGTACCTGCAGGACTCTTGCGGCGGCGACCTCGGCCTGCTGTACGCCGTCACGTCGCCCAGCAAGCCGGGCCTCTTCGTGGCCACGCTGATCGGCAATCGGGTCACGTGGTATGACCTGACCGCGATGGACCAGCTGCGCTCCACCTTCAACGACTCGGAAGGTAAGTCCGGGGCTGTTCGGGTCTGGTGGCCGTCGCAGTGACCCGTATCTGACGGCGGTCGGGGTGACCGGTGTCTGGCGGCGGCCGCGGTGACCCGTGTCTAGCGTTGGTCGCGGTGGACTGTCTGGCGGCGGCTGCGGTGGACTGTCTGGCGGTGGTCGCGGTGGACCGTCTGGCGGCGACTGCTGGCGGCGGTAGCGGTGACCCGTGTCTGGCGGCGGCCGCGGTGACCCGTGTCTGGCGGCGGTCGGGGTGGCCTTTGGGTGGCGGCGGGGAGAGCGGACCGTGCCCCGCCATGGTCGGGGTGGACGCGTGTAACTGAGTGGTCAGCAGACCGCGGCTGGTGAATGGTCGGGTGGACCACGCCTGGCGGTGGTCGCGCCTTCTGGCGTCGGTCCGCGGTCGCGTCCCCTGCGGCCGCTGACACTGACCAGGCGGACTGATAGGGCCCCGACGGCTGTGAGCGGTGGATATGGCTGTTTTGTGGCAACCACCACATCTAAGGCTGGAGCTGGGAGCCGTCCTTTGCATAATGCAAAACAAGGAAACTGTCGATTTTTGGCGCTGTACCAACGTTCCCACGTCAGCTGTACCTGCTCAGCCTGCGGCCAGTTTCCAAAGTCTGACTGAGCCCGCGAGGCACAAGGAGGCCACTTCGATGTCGTACGAAATCAGGTCATTGTTACGGAGAACCATCTGCCGAATTAGGTCACCGCGCAGTGGCCGAGTCGCGGAATAACCCGGGGCGTGCACCGATTAGCTTCACCCTATTGCGCACCGACATGACCATCTCGGCTACCTATCCTATCTGCGACCTAGCGAGTAAATTCCGTGGCTGAGATCTGATCTTGATGTCGTCATACGACCAGGGTCCGACCTGTGCCGTGACTTCAGCTTGACACCATGTAATGACAATCTGCCCGTGCCCCCCCCCCCCCCCCCCCCCGGCTGCCAGCCAACATGCCCCTTGACCTGAGCCCGGTCCAGTCCCGTGACCTGAGCCTGACCTTGCCCCGCTTCGTCCCGTCCCGTCAGCCAACGTGCCTGGTGACCTGAGCCCGGTGCAGTCCCGTGACCTGAGCCTGACCTTGCTCCGCTCCGTCCCGTCCCGTCAGCCAACGTGCCCGGTGACCTGAGCCCGTGCAGTCCCGTGACCTGAGCCTGACCTTGCTCCGCTCCGCCCCGTCCCGTCGGCAGGCATGCCCCATGACCTGAGCCTGACCAGTGCGGCGCTGACCTCGGCGCACCTGCTGATGCTCACCTCTGACGGCGTGATCGTCACGTCGTCCTTCAGCGACCCCGGGGGCAACTTCACCTTTACCCGGCTCCAGCTGCGACGGGTAGGACCCTCCCGCGGGGTCCGCGCGAGCTGCTGTTGCTGACGCCACGTGACCATGTCTCCGGGGTAGGACCCTCCCGCGGGTCCGCGCGAGCTCCGGTTGCTGACGCCACGTGACCATGTCTCCGGGGTAGGACCCTCCCGCGGGTCCGTGCGAGCTCCTGTTGCTGACGCCACGTGACCATGTCTCCGGACCCCGGATGCCGTCTGTCAGACGCCGCACTCGACCCAGGCCCAGCTCCAGAAAGTACATTTCTTTCCGAAAGCCTTTCTTGCAAGAGCCTTCCCGCTTACCGCTCGTCACCGATGTCCTTACAGTGGCGTCTCGCACGTCATTTTGCGTGCCAGGTCGGGGAGGACGTTGGGGTGGGTGGCGCCCCTTGCTGATGTGCGCCTGGAGGCCGGGCTGGGGGCTGGGTCACGGGCAGCCGTCAAACGATTCTCGGCTGGTCTGCCCGGGCCGGCTCTGCTTGACTGGTCTGTTGGTCGTCGACGTTTCCTGCGGTCCACAGCTCACTAGCCTGTGACCGATGCGCTGGTGCCGTCAGGTGACTTGCGCTGCATTCTGTGGCGTCCTTACGTCACCGGGTGATCTGGGTAGCTCTGACCTGTGGTTTGTGCCGCATTCTGTGACGTCACTGCGTCACCAGTTGATCTGGGTAGCTCTGACCTGTGTGTTCGCTGCATTCTGTGACGTCAATTCGTCACCAGTTGATCTGGGTAGCTCTGACCTGTGGTTTGCACTGCATTCTGTGACGTCACTGCGCCACCAGTTGATCTGGGCAGCTCTGACCTGTGGTTTGCGCTGCATTCTGTGACGTCACTGCTTCACCAGTTGATCTGGGGAGCTCTGACCTGGCCGCGTCCTGCGTTTCCAGAACAACAGTTCCGCAGCTGACCGGGCGAAAGACGAGCTGATCCACTCCCCGTCCTGCGTCAACGACGACGCCAACGGTTGGTGTTCTCGTGCTCTTGTGATCACAGCTGTGCATTCATGGTGGCGCGGCCTGCCACTCTCTCTCGCTGAGCAGAGCACCGGGTGGTGGGGGTGGCTCGCGAGCCATGACGGGTTATTGCCTGCTGACGACGATATGCGGTGCTGCCGTTAGTAAGCGAGGATACCGAGGTCCCTGATGCGGGGCGCTGCTCTCCCTCTATGGATGAACCCGCGTAGTGTTCTGATAGGAGCATTTGGCTGATGTCCCAAGTGACGTGGGCGGAGGACCGAAGCTGTCGGTCAGAAGCGTCAGTGGCGGGCTGCCTGAGCAAGCCACGCACTAGTCTCGTGGACTTCCCGTACCGGGAAGCATGAGAGAATGAGGGAAGCCTTTACGACTGCCGGTCGCACCAGTGCATTGCATAAGCCTTGCGGTAGCGATCTCTGAGTGCTGTGTGCTGCCATTGGGCCCGATGATTTTGGCTCGGCCAGAAGGACAATGCACATCTCCGCTCGGCGGTCGTGCTGACCGCTTGCCTGGCCGCCTGGACGCAGCGGATTCGGTGCTGCTGCTGCTGCACTCGGAGCAGCGCTACCTGCTGGGGCGGGCGCCGTTCGCGCGCACCGACGCGTGGCAGGACGTGCGCTCGCTGGTGCCGTGGCCGGCCGGGCTGGCCTCCGTCAGCGACGTCCGCTACGTCTGGCACCGGAACGCCGTGTTGCTCGGCTTCGCGCAGGTGAGCCGTCGCCGCCGCCGCCGCCGACGACGACGACGATGACTGAACCTTTGGTGGTAGGGGTCCGCGGACGATCGTATAGTTTCGGGGCGACGGAGAGGGTAACACCGGGACGTGGCGGGACTGTTGCGAGGCTCGGCCGGAGGTCTGCTAGCCGACTGATGGCCTGGTGCCAGGTGGTGCACCACACCCTCGCTGACGGAGACTGGTGGACGTGCAGCGCCCCGGGCAGCTGACGAGCCATCAGGCCACGAGGCGCGACGCAGCATGACGCTGCTCCGAGTCGGACGACTCGCGCGACTGTGACGAGACCCGGGCACTCCTGCCGGGAAGACCAGCTCGAGACACTGCTGCTGCCATATAGACCATGTGCCTGTCTGTGATGGCGACCTCTCCTGCCAGGGAGACCAGTACAAGACGCTGGTGCTGCCCCTGGAGAAGACCGGCTACCGAAAGCGGCCGCCGTCCAGCGAGCACGTGACCCGGCCGTTCGTCTACCTCTGCCCGCTCACCAAGAAGGTGTACCTGCTGGCCGGTCAGGTGGGAGCAGCTGCCTGCCGAGCTCTGTTGCTACAGCCCCTCCCCTCGCCCACCCACGTGTGGGACAAGCATCCTGGGGCGCTGCCCCCCCCCCCCCCTCCCCAGCTCCCTTTGGGCGGTCAAGCCGCTCAGAAACATGTACGTGCGGTGGTATTGTGCGATCTGTAGTGCGATCGAGCATATTGTGTAACGTTCTTTGAGAACTGAAGCCGTGGATGTTTCGTTGAAGGTGCCATGGCGTTCGGTCGAAGCATGCCAGCGTGTACCTGACGACGCATGCTCACCGTTGGACAGGTCCTCGTCTCCATAGACGGCGGCGCCACGTTCGAACGTACCCTGACCAACGTGACGTTTGGTCACGTTGAGAACTGTTTCACCGACCTCATCCACCACCACATCTGTGTCACCAAGGATCTGGAGCTGGTCGTCATGAGCTTAGGGGTCAGTGCCACTCCTGTGCAGCGTAAACTGCGGGTCTGGTGCGGCTGAGGCCTTCTGCACAGCACGTACATCGTGAATGCATCTGACCTGACAGCTTGGCGTGTCGTGATCTTCGTGCTGGACAGATCAGCTGTAGCGGGGCTGCGATCTCCGGGTGCTCTAAGCTGTTCTGTTCTGTGTTTCTGGTCCGTGATACGCTAACGTCGAATAATTACCATTGCTAACAATATTGGATTTCGCCAAGGGGGAGGGCGGTCTCCCCAACTCGCAGAACTGTACATCACGCATGCTACACACTTGCTACGTTTGATGAAACACGAGGCAATACCGTAAGGCCTGTACGTTTGCCTCCGCCAATTATGCTCTTGGGCGCGCCCCTCCAACAAGATGGCGTACAACGTTCTCATGAGTGACGGGCCGTCGCCCGTTGACCGCGCCGATGCTCGCGTGCCGGCAGTCAGACGAGCCGGCCAAAATCAGCCTGAAAGACGTCATCGACGCCAAGAACATCACGGATGTGGCGGTGGGTGCTGCGCCCCGCGCCGTGTCTCGCTGCGCACGCGCCGGTGCTGTTTTGCTGTTAAAGATGGGTCAGCCGGACGGGTGACGCGTTCCTGGCGTGGTGTCGCTGGGAACTGGTGTGTTACGTCGTGCCTTTGCCATGCCGCACTTGCGCGTTAACATGCTACAAGCGGAGGAAAGCAGTTACAACGGTGGGACTGCTGTGCTGTAGTGCCGACCGACGGTCTGGGTTTGAATAGGTTTGATCAGCGCGATCGTAGGTGATAAGTGTACGTTCGCAGCGTCATTTTGAGTGTCAATCGTCGGATGAGTTCACTGCGCTCCATTGTGAATCGCTCCTCACAGTTGCTGTGATACTACTCTCAGTTGCTGATATCCCAGTTCTCTGGCAGTTGCGTGCGCCTCGCCCCTCCGTCGAATATGATCGAAGGGTCGCATTTCGCTTACAGAAGATAGCCCTGGTAATGGACCGCGCCGGGGGCGTCACCGTGTTCGGCACCGGCTCGTCGGAGCTCGTCTCGCATTATTTCAACATCAAGTCCGGTCTTCCCGACAAGGTGCGTGGCACTTCGTCGCATTCAGAGTTTCCACTAGCAGCACGGCTGCGTTGACCACGCAAGCGGATGATGAAGCGGTTCAGCACGTCCGCGGATGGGCGGGGCGGCCGCGTGTTCCGGCGGGGCGCCGGGCGGTGTAATCGCCGTGCGCCCGCTCCTGCGCCTCACGTGCTCAGTGACTGTGCGGCAGCAGGTGGCCTGCGGAGAGCGGCCCCGCGATCTCACGATAGCAGTGTGGTCTGAGCGCTGCTGGTGGCATGCCTGCCGCTTGCAGTATAAACATGCGCACTGCTTCCCTTGTGTCATCGAGGTCCAAAGTCGTGAAGACCAGTCATGGTCCAGTCAGCTGGCTGACATATTTATGTGTACTGTACACTCAGTAATTCTACGGACGTTCTTCTGTTCCGTCTGGCCGTGACATGCTGTCCGCGGTGCTCGTCCAGGCTCATAACTTCTTGCCTTCACACCGCGGCCACTGCGGCTGCCGACCGCGGTGCCTCGCGCTGTCTGTCGGACTGCCGCGGCGCCGGCTCCCTTCTCAGGTTCCGTTCTCCGTTCCGTTCTCCGTTCTCAGTACAAGGCCCCCTGCGGCTACCGGCTGGAGCTGCTCGGCGGCGTCTTACACGCCAGCATTATCCACCTGGATCTGCACGACATCATCACCGTCGAGGTGGAGGCGCGCGAGGTGTACAGTGAGTGGCGCGTGGGAGAGGCAGCGCGACCGCGAGCCGTTCGTAACAGCGGCCACGCTGTGCTGGTTGGTTCGATGGAAAGAATCAGGCACGTCTGTAAACCAGATGCAGCCCTGCTTCATAAAGCCACCACGTGGGCTGTCAAATGCCATTATTGTCGCCACGGAGAAATAAATACGCATACGTTACCGTGTGATGCGGTCACCGTCTCCAACCGCCCGTTGTTAGGACACGGTGGCTGAACAGCATGCTGTCCATAACTGCGTTATGGTAGGGTAGTTCTGAATGAGAGGGTCTGCTTCACTGCTGGAACGCAGCTGAGTGAAGTCAGATTATGTCTTGGCATAACCCGTAGGGTTCTGTGATGGCCCGGAGCATGTCATGCTGTTGACCCCTAGTTACATTAAAATCTCAGCTCGCATGTAACGTCATTCATCTCGACGTCCTTAGCCACTTTTTGAAATACAGTGCGAACAGTAAGACAATTTTTTAAAGGTTAATTTTCGCATTTTTATCTACCATAGCGATAGCTCTACCATATTTTTATATTTTTGTCTATACTTGCTCTTCAAACAAAGGAACAGCTCAGAAACGGCTTATATGAATCATACAGGCCAGTGAGACAGCTCGAGAGCAGAACAGTGTACCGGCCGGGAGCCGGACGGGCCAGCTGACGGCGCCGGCGGCCGTCGGCAGACGAGGGCGAGCCGCTGGCCGAGTACGAGCCGCTGATCGACCTGGAGCTCAGCAACCCGGACATCGTGCAGGTGGAGCGGTCGGCCAGCGTGCGCGGCGGCTCGCTGCGGCTGGCGGTCACCGTGCGGCCGCAGTCCTGGACGCTGGTACGGCGCGGACGCCCGGCGGCAGGGCGCGCCCGGTGGTGGCGGACAGTGGCGGGTGCGGGACGCGCTGCCGCGTTTGTGGCGGGCTCTCGCCGCAGCCAGTGGCAGCGATTTCGGCGCTAGTAAATGTTACGCAACGACCAGAGAGACGTCTTGCGGGGCGGGGACGAGGGAGGCGATGACGGACGTGGGTCGGGGAACGAGGGAGGCGATGACGGACGTGAGTTGGGGGCGAGGGAGGGGATGACGGACGTGAGTCGGGGGAACGAGGAAGGCGATGACAGACGTGAGTTGGAGAAACAAGGAAGACGATGACGAACGTGAGCTGGGGGAACGAGGGGGCGATGGCGGACGTGAGTCGGGGGAACGAGGGGGCGATGGCGGACGTGAGTCGGGGGAACGAGGAAGGCGATGACAGATGTGAGTCGGGGAACAAGGCAGCGATGAGACGGAGGGGAACGAGGAAGGCGATGGCGCACGTGAGCCGGGGGAACGAGGAAGGCAATGACGGACGTGAGTCGTGGAACGAGGAAGGTGATGGCGGACGCGAGTCGGGACGTTTCTCATGCAGGTGATGTCAAAAGCTAGGCCTGTTTGGGGTCTCACTTCCGCCTAGCCATACCAGTTGATCTGAGCAATGCGCTAAAAAGCCCACCTTTCGTGAGGATTTAACGAGGTGATATAATATTCGCGCGTAAAATTGCGAGCAGCGTTGCTAAAAATTTGATGCATGCGGAAATAGCCTACTTGGACGTTAGAGCCAAAAAGAAAACCGATAACTTGTAGTGGTTTGCGATTGTTGCCTTTGTTTGAAAATAATTAAAAAAGGGAAATTTTGGGGTAGATAATGATCAAAATAAGCAGAACTACATTGCTGTGTAATCTTCATAACCCAATCGCTCATTACTCGATAGCGTCTAGGGCAGGTGTTGTTTTTATTTTATTCTATACTAATTTTGGCAAAAAAATACAAGCCGTTCTGCGACAGATTAATTGTGCTTTTCGTGGGTATTAAGTATCTTGCGGCTTTGGTGCATATATATATATATATATATATATATATATATATATATATATATATATATATAATGGGACGCGACTGCCTCGTTTGTCTGCATCTTGATGTACGTTACTTATATACATAAATAAATAAATAAAGAAATAAATATGTATAACACGTCCTAAAACCGAAGGGTTCATGGTTTGAGCACGAAATGCCTGCCCGTCTACTTAGACCCACCGTCAACACTTTCGCCATTACGAATGTCCGTTTTCTCCTGCGGCCAAATATGTTTGTTTCGTGCCTCCACGACACCGGGTAGTTGAGATTTGAACTGATTTCGACCCGTGCTTTACGGCATTTCCGCTGTGTGGAAATTTGATTTTTCATTTCAGCGGCACGGAATATGCGAAATTGTAGTGAGATTGCAATGTAGCAGGAAAACTATCCTAGTAAAATACCGTGCACACAAATATCCAAAAATTTATACGACGCGACTGCTACGTAGTTGGGCTTCTTTCAGGAAAATTTCATGTGCCTACAATCCACGATTGCAGGGATGTTAGCCTCTAAAAGGTTTTAGGGTTCGACCGGGCCGCTGACATTAAATTTTGTCTTAGTTCAAGCAGGGCTCGCTCGTGATCCGTAAGATCGCAAGGTCCATGCAAAGCTGATCCCGAAACTAGGTTACCTCGGCAAGCAGACGTGTTATCACCATTAGCCCCGGCAGAAGGTGTATTGTGACCTTCGTGACCCCGACAGAGGGGCGTGTTGTGACCGCCGTTACCCCGGCAGAGGGGCGTCGTGTGAACACCGTAGCCACGCCCTAGTGGCGTGTTGTGACATCTGTTACCCCGGCGGAGGGATGTGTTAGAACTCCGTGGCCCCGACGGAGGGGTGAGTGGTGACTCCCTGTGACCCCGACAGAGGGGCGTCTGCTCGCTGACGTTCCGGCTGCCGCGCGCCAGCGCCCTCTGCACGGGCACGGCCCGGCTGGTGACCTTCGCCCTGCTGCCCTCGCCCAATCTCTCCATCGCCGTCAACACGGCCCGGGGCGCCGACCCCAAGGTGGAGCGGGACGTGCTACGAGGCTTGCACGCCGGCGACCGCAGCTTCATCGAACTGCCGGTGCGCCGGCGCCGCGCAGCCCGGCTGGGGCCGAGTCGGGCTTCCACGCCGGGGGGCCGGGTTCCATTCCCGGATAGGGCTAGTGTTTTTCGGGTGATGAGGCGATCTTGGCTGCTTCTATCGGTACATGCAGTGGCTGCGCGACGGCGCGCGGAGGCGCGCGGCCCGCTCGAAGGCCTGTCGCTGCGGAGTCAGGGATGGAGGTCTGGGAGCCGATGCTGGTGATTCGACGGGCGTGTTTCGTTGCCTACATGCTTCCGCAAAATCACGACATAGTGCTGAAATTGGTGCACAGAGGCGTGTTCAAAGCTGACGCTAAGATTATGCCGGTGCTACCAAGCGACTCGCTGTTCGTCGTTTGGAATCCTTTGATGCACGGGCGACACGATATGCCACGGGGCATTCTGTTTTATTGGGGATGGGTCGCAGTGGGTTGAATAAAGTCTAAAGGGGTGGCGAAACGCTTCGTGAACTCCATCTATCTCCTGAACTTCTGGGAGGAGAGTCTGACCGAACCCTCCGTACTGCCCGGACGCGGTTTAGAGCTAGACTGGGAGCCGGAACGCCTCAGGGAGCGCCGTTCTGCTGTGTTACAGGTCAACTACCGGCCTCCATCAGACTTGGGGATCAACATCCCCACCTCGGAGAACATTTATAACGCCGACCCGAGCCAGCCTATGGAGCAGGGTAGGTCTTAGGCTGATTTTGCGCGCAGTCTTTGCACGCCCATTTTAAGAATTCTACACATCATGATGTGGTTACTCAAGGACGCATTATTCTGTCCTGCTCTCCTCAGACCGGAGCTGATTATCTACCCTCAGACCTGCACGTTCTGTCCTGTTTTCAGATCTGCTGAGTGTGCCTCCTTGGGTCTGCGACTGCGCCGCCCTCCCGAGACCCTCTGATTGTGTCCTGCTCGCATCGGACCTGCGACTGCGCCGCCCTCCTCAGACCCGCTGATTGCGTCCTGTCCGCACTGGACCTGCGAGTGCGCCGCCCTCCTGAGACCCTCTGATTGCGTCCTGTCCGCACTGGACCTGCGAGTGCATCGCCCTCCTCAGACCCGCTGATTGCGTCCTGTCCGCACTGGACCTGCGACTGCGCCGCCCTCCGAGACCCACTGATTGCGTCGTGCTGTTCTCAGCCCTGCTGATCGTGCACGAGGTCAGCCGCAGGACGGGCCGCTACAAGGCGTGCGCCGGGCGGGCCGAGCGCTCGGCCTGCGGCTGCACCGCGGCCGCCGAGTACTCCACCGACGTCCGCGACTCGGACTGCCGCCGATACGTGAGTGGTGGTGGCGGCGGCCTCCTGGCCGGCCAGTCCTCTGAGACTCGGACCGCTCTGTGGTGGCGGCGGCCTCTGGGCCGGCCGGTCCTCTGAGACTCGGACCGCTCTGTGGTGGCGGCGGCCTCTGGGCCGGCCGGTCCTCTGAGACTCGGACCGCTCTGTGGTGGCGGCGGCCTCTGGGCCGGGCGCCGGCGGCAGCGGGCCGCGGGAGCTGCCGTCAGACCGGTCAGCTGGGCTCTCAGACACGGTGTGACGGGGCCGTGTTCCCTGTCGGACCGTGCGCTGTGCCCGTCTGTGGCGGGGTCATGTGCCAGTCACGGCGCCTCTGATTGGCTGACCCCGCTGGGATTTGCTGCAGTGCGCGGCGACTTAAGAACGCTGGGGACGTGTTTGAACCAGTTCTGGGTTGCCAGTAACGTGTTGGCGTCGTGTGGGGGTGGCGGTAGGTTGCAGTGTCGGGGAAGGGACTTCTGTGTTTTCACCAGTGGCTGCGAGACTTTCCTTTTTAGTAGAAGTCTGCGCAAGCTTTTTCTCCATGCTGTGAGTACGATTAAACGCCATGGTCCCGTAGCCTTTGGAGGAACAGCTTCATGTTGTGGACCCGACCGCCAGTTTGGCCTGCGCCAGAAGTGAAAGTCCATAATAATAACCGGAGAGGGGAAGAAATAGATGTAAGCCGTCCGAACCCTTGCTTTCAATACCTGCTGGGGCAATTCAATACCTGCTGGGGCAAGTATTGGTAGGAAGCGTTTCCCTAAGAGTTGCGAAGACCCACCGGTGTGTTGCATGAGTGTATGACTGCTTCACATTGTAGTGGTCGCGACATGCGCACACCTAAATTATCACCATGATTGTCTCGAACCTGCGCTAGCCGTCCTATTCCGTCCGTGAATGTGTTGGACCGAGCGGTGCCAGCTGTGTCAGTGTCAGTGTTGTCAGGTGCCGCTGCTATGTCGGACCAAGCGGTGTCAGCCTTGTCAGGCCGCTGCTGTATCGAACCGAGTGGTGTCAGCCGTGTCAGTGTCAGTGTCGTCGTCAGGTGCCGCTGCTGTATCGGACCGAGCGGTGACAGCCGTCAGTGTCAGTGCTGTATAGGATCGAGCGGCGACAGCCGTCAGTGTCAATGCTCTACCCCACCGGGCGGTGTCAGCCGTGTCAGTGCCAGCGTCGTCGCCAGGTGCCGCTGCTGTATAGGACCGGGCGGTGTCAGCCGTGTCAGTGCCAGTATCGTCGCCAGGTGCCGCTGCTGTATAGGACCGGGCGGTGTCAGCCGTGTCAGTGCCAGTATCGTCGCCAGGTGCCGCAGATCTCGTGGCCGGCCAAGCTGCGTCTGACGATGAGTATACGCGAGCGGAACGGGCCGGTCCGACCGCTCCTGGCACCCATGTACGTGACCATCACGGAACTCAACAACCGCTCCTCCTGGCGAAACCATGGTGAGCAGCGCTCCAGGCGGGGTCGCGTGTAAAGAGACTGGCTCCACCCAACCATGCTCAGCAGTGCTACCCACACGGTTACGTGTCGCGTCACGTGGTTATAACCGTACGGGCGGTTTTTCTTACGACGGTATCTGTAAGCCCGGTAAAAACAACGGCAACAAAATTAGATGCATCTCTGCTCGAATTCAAGCGGATAATTGCAGTGGCTCTGTTTTGTGTAGCTATGTTTTCACTTTGCTGGTGTGACCAGAAGGCGGATTTTTATGTGTCGAGAAGTATTTGTGGCCTAGGCTACCGTGTGTCAATTTAGACTCTTTTTCCCTAATCCCGTCATGGCAATTCGGCTACATTTGTATAATATAGTGTTACCGTTCCTTGGAATCGGAGTCATTTCGAAGCATAGCTGTGAGGACCCTGACTTCACCAGTCCAGTAGGGCAGTTCCAGTCCAAAGAGCGGTTTGCGCCGAAAGATGTTAACCACTATGTGCCGCGGCACGGCCGCCGGTGCTTCAAGCTGGGTTTCCGGGCCAGTCACCAGTGGACCGACGGTGATGATTCCCGCTGGACGGGTGTCAATGCGCGGTGTCGCATGACACTGTGACACTGGTCAGTGTGTCACACTCGACCAGGTGAAGTGCGGGTTCGGCCAAGCGTGTTCCATCTCGTTTTGGTCCGTGCTTGATATCCCGTTGCACGGATCGATGAAAACATCGACAGAAACGTGCAGCCATGGGCACGGCCGATGCTGCGTCATCTTGGAGCAGGTTCCAAGTTTATTCCATGGGCGTTGTGAGATCTAGGTTATGGTGAAATACTTTCAAGTAGCGGCCGAGCCGGCCATAGAGCCTCCACTCTCCGTCTTATGCCTACTAGTGCTTGACCGCCAGGTTATAACGAGCCGAGTCATCATGATCTGCATAATGGTTTGTGTACTTGATCTTCGCTTCCCACCAGTCTCGGAAAGTAAAAATTGTGGAATGTGCACTGAAACCAGCGGACCACAACACACAAGCGCATACGCAGACACACGCACGCCCGCGCCCGCACACACACACGCCGTATGCACGCAAGCATAACGGGTGGCAGTGTGCCGGTCGGGCCGACGGGGCGGCCGACCGGCGCACGAGGCGGCCGGCCGCCGTGCGGCACGGCAACTGCCGCAACTACGTGGACCGTGGCGGGTCGGCTAGACCTGCGGAGAAAACCGGCGGAGACACCACACGCTAGCGGTGTGGTGCTCCGAGTGGCTCTGAGGCTTTGTGTCGCATCGTCAAACTGGCGAGATGGGTTGTGACTGCACCGGCCGGGAGCCGGCCGGGAACGGCACTCAACCAGCGTGCTGTCGCTGTCGTTCTGGCCTGGTCGTGCTGCCTGCGCCGCCGTGGGGTGTCACGCGCCGCCCGCCGCCCTCTGTTGGCCGTGCAGGCGCTGGCGCGGACCCAGCGACTGCCGCGTCGTGTCCCCTCGCGGCTCGGCCATCGTACACGCACGCACGCACGCTTGCACGCACGCTTGCACGCGCGCTTGCACGCGCGCACGCTTGCACGTACGCACGCTTGCACGTACGTACGCTTGCACGTACGTACGCTTGCACGTACGTATGCACGTACGCACGCACGCACGCACGCTCGGCGCCGGCTCGGCGCCGGCCCACGAGGCGTGCAGCGAGCGGGATGGGGGCACGACACCAGGGGGTCGGCCACCGACGATGAGGCACGGCACAGCCCGCCCGGCGTGAGCGGCCATACCGAACCCCCTCCCCTCGCTGGATCCTCCCCGACACGTGTGAACTGGTTCTCATGTGCGGGACTAAACACGGCCTACCCAGTCCCGTCAAAACGACTGAAGATGATTTGTAGCGTTATGGGGAGACATCCCTAGCTGTCTCCGTTTACGTCATCAGAAGGCACGCGCTCCCACACACGTCTTTTCCGGCAACGCGGTCTAATTCCGTGTGACCATGCATTGGGCTGTTCGTACTGCATTGGCGGGGTGTGGTAGCGCACGCTGATGCTGTCACTTGTGCTGCTTGTGCTGCCTTGTACTGTGTTAGTGCCTGTCGGTGACTTGATCTGATCTGACCTGACCTGACCTGACCCGAGCGCCGTCCGGCTAGTGCTGCTGGACGCCGACCTGACCCTCATATACAGCCGGAACACGTCGGCTCGCGACCGGCAGCTGGTGGACCCCCAGCGCATCCGTATCTTGATGACGGGCACCGGACTCTACCACTTCCGCCTGCAGGTGGTGGAACACAGCTCCTACAACACCTTCTACGACGACTTTATGGTGAGCGTTCGTCGCCGTATCTCGTCCGCGTTCCAGTTACGTTCTCGTTTGGTCTTAGCTGCACCCACATTCGCCTCAGCAATGTACCATAGCTAATATACAGTTGCATGCTAAATTAGTCCAATGCTATTTATGTCTGTCCACAGATATACGTGGTGCCGTCTCGCCTGATGTCTCAGGTACAACACGTGGTGTACCCCGTGGTGGGCATCACCCTCATCATCATGATGTTCGTCGTGTTCGAGTACTATCACCAGCGCTACGTGGGAGCTGGCGACGACGTCTACTCCGAGAGCGGTGAGCCCAGTGCGGTGCTGAGCTCTGATCCGTCACACACGGACGCGCTGCATTGTGCGGCTCCCAGACTGGGGTAGATGGGGGTCGTGAGGTCTAATGACCGTCGTGAGGATGGGGATGGGGAGTGGGGATGGGATGGGATGGGATGGGATGGGATGGGATGGGATGGATGGGATGGGATGGGATGGGATGGGATGGGATGGGATGGGATGGGATGGGATGGGATGGGATGGGATGGGATGGGGGGGGGGGGGGGGGGCGCAACTAAGCGCTACCTGGACGCCTAGCCTGCCCAACATATGTATAGGGTCCGGGTTTAAGGTGCCGTGCCGAGCTCAGATTTTTGTCAAAGGCTGGCTGTGAGTCTTACAGCCATTACTTGTCAGAAAAGTGTCGCGTTAGTGCCATCGTGCGACAATATGCGTACCGCGTCCCTCGCTTCTTACAAAGTGGCCATATCAATAGGCCGGCTGCCCGGACAACGGCCTTGCTGAGTAATCAGCCTTATTGATGTCCGGGCAGCCCAATGAGCCTTGCTAATGTCCGGGCAGCCCAATGAGCCTTGCTAATGTCCGGGCAGTCCAACGAGCCTTGCTGGTGTCAGGGCAGCCCAACGAGCCTTGCTGGTGTCCGGGCAGCCCAACAAGCCTTGCTGGTGTCCGGGCAGTCCAACGAGCCTTGCTGGTGTCAGGGCAGCCCAACGGGCCTTGCTAATGTCCGGGCAGTCCAACGAGCCTTGCTGGTGTCAGGGCAGCCCAACGAGCCTCGCTGGTGTCCGGGCAGCCCAACAAGCCTTGCTGGTGTCCGGGCAGCCCAACGAGCCTTGCTGGTGTCAGGGCAGCCCAACGAGCCTTGCTGGTGTCAGGGCAGTCCAACGAGCCTTGCTGGTGTCAGGGCAGCCCAACGAGCCTTGCTGGTGTCAGGGCAGCCCAACAAGCCCTGCTGGTGTCCGGGCAGTCCAACGAGCCTTGCTGGTGTCAGGGCAGCCCAACGAGCCTTGCTGGTGTCAGGGCAGCCCAACAAGCCTTGCTGGTGTCAGGGCAGTCCAGCGAGCCTTGCTGGTGTCAGGGCAGCCCCACACCGCCCCAGCTGACATTTATCGCAGTGATTCTGCTCATGTGCCTTCTTTAGAGGAGGAGTACGGTGACGACGGCAAGTTCGAAGAGGCAAATTAGACGATGCCCGTGCGGTATGAGGGCAAGCGATGACAAGCATCACCAGAAAGGGCAGGTGATGACGAGCATCACCAGAAAGGGAAGCGATGACGAGCATCACCAGAAAGGGAAGCGGTGAACCGAACAGTCGCGTCAAAGAGTTGACGATGCGTTGTCGAGGTCAACTTTGCGAGCGCCATCTGTTCAGCTCCGCCGTAGGAATGTAACTATTCTGTCGATAGCAGTGGGTGTTGAAGATCCCTCTCTGTGTAGGATTCTTCGAAACAGCAGATGCTTGTCTTGGATTGGGGAGGTGATGACAGTGAAAGGACGCAGCCGTTTTCTTCATTCTGAAGGGAAAGGATGACTGACAATATCTTCTAACAGGCGTCTTGAAAGACTTCCAGTCAAGAGTCTGCTTCAGCTGACTAAGATGGTGCAAGATAATGCAATGCGAATGCCTCTTACTTTCCAAACTACATTGCATCAAGTACATTTCATCATCACGGACATTACAGTTGAAGTAGCCCCACACAGACCCACGCGCCTCCAATCACTGCTGTGACAAAAATGGACACAGTTCCCTCGCGAATTCGATAACCGCAGCAACCGTGCCTTTCGTATTTCGTGTGACCAGTGATGCGTCTTATGGATTCTCGACTGCAATGAGTGGGGACAGGAAAAAGCCTGCTGGCTGTGCCTGTCTAGAGACATGGACTGCTCTTTGTGATGGCGTACTTGTAGTTGTCATGTGCGGAATGCTGCAAAGACAGTTTATTCGCCTGCATTGCTGCCTCGTTGTCGGATATCTATGTTATGTTTTGTTATGCTATTGCTTGGTTACGCTTTCAGTTTGCACTGACATGTTTTAGCATGTGTTGTGCTCAAATATTTCTTGTTCATCGCAATATAAAGTCCACTGCGGTCTGCGTCTGGGCAAGAATCTAAGATCATCTGTCTGATCATCATCTGTAAGATCATCTAATCATCTGTGACATCATCTGTAGGATCAGTGAATCACGGAACAGCTCAGGTTGAGGCAGACACCACTCGGCCACGTGCTGGGGAGCCGAGAGCAGTTCAGGAACACGCTTCACAATTCTCACCTGTGGCTGTCACCTGTCACAGATGGCTCTAGTGACCGTCACATCGTCACAAATGACATTAGGCAAATGTCCGCGTGATAGCAGTGTGATAGCCGTGACCCACGTGCCCGTCAGGACAGCGGGAAGGGCAGCGGTCTAACGGGCGTGCGATGTTTTGACGTGTCACTGGACGCCACAGGCCTCGTGGACTGGGTAAGCGCGTAGCCGCCCGCCACAAAACAGGCATCGGTTAGCTGCGGTGGATACTCTGGGAAAGGTATGGCCGGGAAATGGAGCCTGGGCAGGGACTTTAAGAAGTGCCGGGCATATAGATGGACGGAGGACTCTCATGGAATACTGTTGATCATATTCCTTTATTTCTACATAAGGCACACCAACATGATAAAGGCAGTTTCAAACGGAGAAACATGGGTTGAGCTGATAGGAAAAGGGCATTGGGGCGGATATGGATAAGACACGAAGAGTAGCAGGTATGTTGCATAGAGTCCTAACTGTGAAAACCTCCACTCGCTATGCCTCATGCCGGCAATAACAACGATCTGCCAGGACAGTGCATACGTAGGTATAGAGAACGTATGTGTATAGCCAAAGGCATACACCTGGTTCCGCCCGAGCCTGGGTGACGTTGCTGAACCTCCCACCCAGCTGCGAGAAGGTGAATTCGCATGCTTCCCAGTCCGTGCAGCCAGGGGTGCGGAGCCCGCCCCCCGCGGTGTCCCTTCCTGTCATGGTGAGGGCAGGTGAAGTCGTAAAGCGTCACTCGCTGAGTGCCCTTAAAGCTCTAATGACAACACTCCCAGGCCGATAAGTAGAGCGTCATGAAGATAGCTCGCACTGACGCCTCCAGATGACCTCCCTGATGACACAGCGGCGAGCAACACACGGAGACATCCGCCCCTGCCTCGCGAGAGGTGACCGCACGCACCTTTATGAGAACTGCTGCGCTGCTGACTCGTCACCGGGCGGCGGTGACGTCCGCTGTCTTCGATTATTCGATGTCCGTTTATGGGCTTCGGTGGAGAATGCAGGGCGGCAGCTGTGACAGGTGTGGCAGCGGCCATACCAGCTTCGTCGAAATGCATTTGACATATTTTTCATTCACAAAACCTGGTTCTGGCGGCTGTGCCTCACCACCATTCCCCAGCATTCTTCACCAGCGAGCGAGAGACTTATTAGAATAATCGGTGTTATTCAGCAGTTTCGTGCATTGGTTAAGCAGGGTCGTGCAGCAGCATCGTGCAGTGGTGCATGCGTGCGTGGTTTCATTAAAACACTGGGAAAGACCGACAGTAAAGATTTTGTTACGGTGGAGAACTAAAGACGTGAACGACCACTCCATGCTGCACTTGACTTCATGGAACCAGCAAACGGTACAGCATCCCATACGTCTTGCGGTTACCGAATGTAGCTGTGGATTAATTTATATATTGACTTTAAGTATTGTGTGCATAGTTATGTATTGGCACAACAAGTGACTGATTTTGATTCCTAGACACTGAAAAATTTATTTACTGGGATGACATGTTCACAGAGATATGCGGGGTGACAACGACTGCAGCGCCTCGGCGAGCGAGCTGTTTTTGCGTTGCCTGCCGGATGTTTTTTTTTTAGCGACGACGGAAATTAACCTGTAACGAAATATATAAACAATGAAAGAACCTCATCACCAAACGCTGCTTTCGCGGATAATTCTCCATGCGGAAGAGGAATAGGGAAATCGGCGATCTGTCATGAGCCTTTGACCAGCTGATGGCAGCAAGGGAACGGACAGTAAGGCCCGCATTTAACGTCCTGCGCCACAATTTGGTTCACATGGTTTTGCCTGCATTCGCTGCCACCAACCACTCCCAGTTTAAGCCGTTTTTTTCGTGCTCTCCACGCCTTATCAGATTTCAGCAGTCGCTCTGCCTGTGTCCATCAGCCTGTTGAGTGACAACTGTGTGTTCACACTGTCGCTTATCTGCCGGTGACCCTGCCACTTGACCTAACTGTGTACATCGCTGACCGACCGGACACCGATGCTCCTCTGATATACGTTCAAGAGGTTGGGCAGGGGCGTGGGGAGCGGGCGGGCGCCCGTCCCACCCCACCACGCCGGCGCGGCGCGGCGCGGCCGACGCGGACCACCAGCCGCGCGGAGGTCGCGCCGGAACAGGAGCCGCCCAGCCGGCCCGCCGAGACGCCGCTGGCGTCGCCCTCAGCAGGACGGCGCGCCGGCCGATAGCGCGGCCGCACCGGCGGGACCTCGGCGTGCGTGACCAGTGGTCTGTCCGGCGTGCAGCGCAAGACATCAGGGTCCCGCGCACTACCAGCCGCCAGCGCTCGAGCCGCGCTCACCACTCGAGGAGCTCAGTCAGCCCCTGGAGACGCGTCGAAGCGAAGCGGAGCTGTTCGGAGCGGGTCGGAGCGGGCCAGAGCGGGTCGAAGCGAGGCGGAGCGGGTCAGAGCGGGTCGGAGCGGGTCAGAGCGAGTCAGAGCGGGTCGGAGCGGACGAGGGGCTTGTCCGAGGTCGCGAGGAGCCGAGCCAGGTGTGAGGCCGAATCGACAGGCGGCCCTGCCGCCGTGCACATCGATCGCCGCTGCGCGGTCCGCACCTGTGCCTGCGGCGACACCCGGCTCGTCGTCTGTCGGCGTGAGACGCAGCCCACTCCCAGCGCAGCCGACTCCCTCCACTCCAACCGTGAGTCGACTCCGATATGGCTGCGCGCAGCAGTCGTCGGCCACAGGTGGCGACCGTGCCCTGCATGTGGTTTGGGCTGGACTGCGGACGAGGCGGAGTTGACTCCGAAATCGGTCAGCCTTTTCCGTTGATTTTAGGTGAGTCGATTTCTTTGAGCGCTTGGTGTGAGTCGGAATCGGAAATAAGTGAACCACGTTATTTGGGTTTGATGTGTGCCAGTTTGTGTGTGGATTAGACGGAACATGGTCATATGTAGCATTTTGCTTTAAAATCAATGACCCTGCACTTAAACCTATACAAATACAAAACACGTTTGCTCGATACGGATAGCTCATCAACACTCCCATTGGATGATTTATGTGGTGTCTACGCCAGTACATGACAGCGGACTAAAAACACATCCGAGAAAAGCAATAACAGCGGTCCAAACACAATACAAAACAAAGATGTCACAGAAAATGCACGAAATACGAACTTTGAAAAGGAAAAGGAAACAAGCGAAGTTCATATCAACTGAGTCTTTGCTTAACAAACTGCGGAAATACCGAGCCCATGTAGCTTTTGATCCCAAAAACTGCTGACACCGGAATCAAATCCATCGGGGTCGATTACAACATTGACATTTCATCGTGGAGTCGCAGTCGGTGTTGACTCGAAGCTGTGCTGTGCTACTCGAACTCGAAATCCATCCCGCAAGCTAAGTGTGGGAATCGGCGCCGGTGGCTTCCAAGCTGAATCAAGCACAAGTCTGCCTCTTGGCAGCGCTCCCTGAAACGCGATAACGCTCCAGATATGTGTCGCACTTCAAAGCAATCGGTGTTGCGGCCTGCAACGTATATCACCCTGAAACGCGCGCACTAAACAGAGCAGGACACGTTGACGCGATAAACACAATGCCATTGGTTGCATGTCCGGACAGACCAAGCAGCACACGGTAATTGTCACGCATTTTGCATTGGATGTCTTGTTGGGTGAGTGTCTATCTTGTCATGTTAATCAATAAATTGCGTTCGATTCCATCTCTAATGATTAGGATTTTAACATCTGACCGAATAATTGCGTCGAATATGTGGGTAACGAAGGCGGACTAACATCACTACCATCGCGTGATCATTACATGAGTCCAACCGCGTTTAGTGCGATGTCTCAGAAAAAATGGGAACAAAATGCCTGAGGGGATCTCTTCTCTCTCTCTCTCTCTCTCTCTCTATCTCTCTCTCTTCTCTCTCTCTCTCTCTCTCTCTCTCTCTCTCTCTCTCTCTCTCTTTCTCTCTCTCCTCTCTCTCTCTCTCTCTCTCTCTCTCTCTCTCTCTCTCTCTCTCTCTCTCTCTCTCTCGCTCCTCACAATATTAAAAAACGAAGGAAACATGTATATTAAAAGATATTATGGATTGGTACGCTAAATGTAGCACTGTGTGCGTTGCAAATAATGCAGCATGCGACGCAATACAAACCGCGACAGATAGCACTTAGGTACCCACCACCACGCTACAAACAATTCGCAGTTCACAAACAGTGTGAACAACACATACGTAAAGCGCTGCAACAGGGTGCGTGCCGTGGCACAAGGCTGCGCAGTTTTTCAATTTTTCATCAATCGCTTCTTAAATGCTCTATATCTTATGGAAAGCATTAATGGCGATCTTACAGCGCTTCTTGACCTTATTTGATCGTAAATCAGTACCATTAAGGCTAAAACCCAGTGAACCACGCAGAGGTTTCCTGCCTGGGGTCTTCAGCTGTCGCCGCCGAATACGACACCTTTCGTAAAGGCCCTTACGAGGAACTTGTGACGACTTCGTCGAGCATATCCTTCGTAAATGTTTTTACGAGAAACTGAGGAGAAGAGACGTCAGACGTGCTGCCGCTGGAGAGAGGAGACGTCAGACGTGTTACCGCTGGAGAGAGGGGGCATCAGACGTTGTGCCGCTGGAGAGAAAAGGCGTCAGTTGTGATGCCGCTGGAGAAAAGGTATGACATCATGCTCACTGGAGCAAGGAGACATCATGACTCCGGGTGCTGTGCAGGATCAGTTCTTTCCTTCCAGATGCCGTCGCAAAAGAGGTACCTTCCAAAGCGATATCGCCTAGACGCCGAGCTGGCAGCGCCCCAGAGCTGGCTGT